TCCGCAGCGCTCAGCAGCGACAGCAAAGGCTGAGACCACCCAGGCTCAGGGGAAATTCTGAGAATCTGGCACAGGGCACAGGAGAACTTCAGAAACATTTGAACATAACTTTCATTTATATTACCTTTATATATCATATTATAGCTTTCCTTTATATTACCTGAATGTTACCTTTATATGTCATAATATAACTTTCCTTTATATTACCTGAATATTACCTTTATATATTATATTATAACTTTCCTGTACATTACCTGAATATTCCCTTTATATGTTATATTGTATTATAAGTTTCCTCTATATTACCTGAATGTTTTGCCTCTGTACCATGGAATTTGGAAGGATTCTGGAGAAGATTTTTCTCTGGAAATGGGTAGSTCAGGGCTCAGAGGGTGGGCTGGAAAAGGAGCAGATTTTAATTGTGCATCCCAATCTGCAGAGATTGTGACACGACCCTAATGAACACCGAGGTCACCTCTCGTGGCCCCATGCACCATTAATTCTGCACTCGCTGATCTTTCCGCATCCCTTCTGTGATTCTGCCCCGCAGCGTTTGGCTCGCAGCTTTCCTCTGCTGCCTTCATGTGAAATTTGATTTTTTTTCTGGCCACGTCAGCCCCGCGGTGGCTCTGTTCTCTGGTGGTTCAAGGAGCGGGGAGTGTTTAGGCTCAGCTTTGTTCTGCCGCTTCCTCTGCGCAGTTTCCTCTCTGTTAAACCGAACCATGAGACCCCTCAGCAATATTTGGGTTTCCCTTTTGCTGCACAGAGCCTTTGAATCACGTGCAGAAAACGCACAAGGGATTTTTCATGGAAGCGGCAGCAAAGCGAGCAGAGAGAGGTGTTTTTCACTCTCCCCATCCCCCGGGAATTCAGGGATCACCGTCCTGGATAAGCGACACCTTTTGTGCTGACATGAAGGAACGCCTGGAGGTTTCACCATGCCCAGGGGCAGAGCTGCTCACCTTTAGCCATGCCCAAAGAGCGTTTTTTTTGTTTGTTTTTGTTTTGGATTGGTGGGATTTGGGTGTGAGGCGGGACTAACTAAACCTCGGTCCCTTGCAGCTACAACAGCCTGAGAACGCTGAGCCCCGCGGACTTTGCTGGGCTGGAGAACCTGGAGCTGCTGATGCTGCACAGCAACGASATCAGCACCATCCCCGAGAGGGTGTTCGGCGATCTGCGTTCCCTGCAGGTGAGAAACAACCACCCAA